GTGTGAATGGTGAAATCTACTCAGTAGCCTCTTAGTAGCAAGACAACATTTCCTGCAAAATTTAATGATGTAATTATTATGATGACAGTGCGGTGAGAGTAAAAACAGGCTGCAGACAAGAGCACATGATTGGACCACCAACAAGTGAAATCAGAAGTCATAAATCCATAAACAGCAAGGATCTACTGTACAGGCTACTTCTCTACTACCTCAGGAGTTTAACAATTGTATGTCTAGGCCTAACTACAAAGCACTGCTAGCCCGAGGGACACTCTGAAAGCCCATCTTCTTTCGCCATCCCCATTTCTTCAACAGAAACACATGATGCAACATGATTTTCCCACGCAGATGCTTCTTCCAAGCATTGGCACAGTACAGTGGGCCCATGCTATGTGACTGAAATCTGCTGAAGATTTCTTACCAGGTCTTCCTGGCTGCCCTTTAGGTCCCAGAGGCCCTGTGTAGCCTTTATTTCCTTTTTCACCAGGCATCTCATTGTAATACTCTGTCTTAAAAAAAGAGAGACAGAGAGAAAGATAGAAGAAAAGGGAGAGAAATAGTAACAATGAAGAGAAAAGTACAGCCACCAAAAACAAGCACTCGACACCATTGAATTGCTATTGTGTGATGACTTCCCAACATCTTTCAGATCTCTACTTCCTGCAAGTCTTGGCACGATATTAATTGCTTCTGACCCTTTAATTGTTTAGAAACCAAACTATAACTTGCCCCTTGGACTGGACTGTGCATACTGACTCTGCTCTCATGGAAATGATAGCCAGTTGTCCTGTATTTTGAAACCTGAGCACTTGGAGCCTTGTCTTTTCTGGACAGTCACAGAAGAGTGAAATATATTCTATCTTTTAAATACATTTTAGCTGCATATGTATAAAATGAGACACTTATTAGCTCAATTAATATTAGAGTGTATGTTCTACTTCTGAAATATAAACTGCTATATCAAGGTTTATATAATTTGCACTTACTGGACCTTGAATTCCTTGACAGCCAACTTCACCTTTACTCCCCTGTATTAAAAAAAAAATCAACCCCAAAACTGCTCAGTGTGCAATAAAAGAAACAAATTGTCAACCTAAAGCAATCAGAATCAGTCAGCTATATTTGTTTCCCTTCACATCAGGATTACAGGCACAGGGCTTGTTCATGTTGTGGCAAGCCATGAGTTGACATTGTATCTGAAATCTATTTTTAGGCAATGAATTGTTAAGCAAAGCTAATTTAATTTTGACTTCCAGTCTGTGGCTCGGCGATGGCGGACACTCTCCCCGATCGCTGGGGAGGTATTCCGCGTTCCAGTGGGGTTGAAGGGGTGCCACCTCAAGTGGCACCCCCAGGTGAGACTTAGTGAAAGGCTCCGAGCCGGGGGCGCTGGAGGGGCGACCTCTTCGACGGCGTAATGCCGGAGAATTGAGGCGCTCCTTTGCCCCAATCGGTCCGCCCCCTGTGAGGCTCGGTTTTTACCGAGCTTAGCCGATGCCGACCGGAACAAGCAACGAGGGTTATCGATTTAACGAAGTTACAAGGAGTCTGGATGCAGACGGGCAATGAATCGGAGAACGAACCAAGCGAAAAACTTTTTTAAAAAGTGAGTTCTCCCCCCCCACTCTCCGGAAAGCTGCGTCGGGAAAGATTCCCAGGCGTAAACAAATGGAAATGTTCTAACAAAATAGGGGGGGGAGGAGAGAAGAGAATTGCGAAAGTGTGCAAGAGACTTAGCTGTGTTTCCAGAAAACCTTGAGCGTTTTTTCGAAGAAGAGCGAAGTTGGTCTTCTAGTGTAAACAAAGTAGAAAAATGGCCGGCGCGCAAGGAAAGCCAGGCAGACAAATTGGGAGGGGCGGTCAGAGTGGCATTACAACGCGGTGGCGCAGGCATTACAACGCCTGCTATTAACATCTGGACGAACAGCCGGAAGGCTGTTCGATTCCCCACCGCGGCCGGGTTGAGCCCCCGGCCCTCGTCCCAGCTCCCGCCAACCCAGCGTCTCTGTTAACATCAGAGGAATGGGTACCTGCCTTAGATGGCAGGGGGCACCCCCCCTTCCCAGCCTTGCGCTGGTGATCGGCGGTGAAGAAAAGCAAAGGAGAGGATCGAGTCGGCGGCAGCAAGCGAGGAAGAAATGGCGGCGGCAGAGAAATGGCGAAAGGCGACCAGAACGGCGGTGACTGGCTCGAGCAAGTGGCGAAAGGCGGAGCCAAGGACGGAGCGACGTCAGAACGCGGGGCGCAGCGCAGCAGGAGCCGCTTGGACGTTGCTGAGGCTGCGCCCGGGAGAGATACGCCGCTCATCCGAGGAGAGAATAACAACGGCCAGCT